ACGAAAAAGATATACCAATATATATTAACCAACATTGAAACTAATAATCCTCGGATTATAAGTCCAATCCAACTAATATGTCAAAAGATGGAGAACGGATTTTTGCATAAAAGCATAATCCAAAACAAGAAAGAAGGAGAGGAAGAAAGAAATGTACGAGTTAGGCGAGTGCCTTTCTTTCTTTAAAACCTTATTTGCCACCTCCCAAAAGTGCTAGGAGCGTTGTGGCCTAGGTTTCCTAGGATAAAACGTACAACGGTTCGACGTTTGAGCACCCAAACGAACGAACCCGGCGAACTAGAGCACGGGCAAAACACAGCTTCAAGAATGGAGTAGGAGCAGAATTTTGGAGCTGGGAAAACCATAATTTTCTGTGTTGTGTGTGTTGTTCTCTCTGTGTGTAAACCTGCTGCTCCTACACTCTTCTTATACAGGAGTTGAAGAATCAATAGCATTTAATTTGACACTTAATGCACGATTTGTAACACCTGAAACAGCCACCATTATTTGAGTTTTAATTCAAAAATCAAAACTGGAATTATGGTTCATACTTTCGTGCAGTGCCATATTTGGCCAAGGCCAGCCAGCCAATTTTCGGACGACATTCGTGCCCGTAGGGTGCCGGCGCACACAAGCTCGAGCTTGAATCAAGCCTTTTCGATCTCGTTTCTAGTTGGAATTTGATTTGCACACCCCCCCCCCCCCCCCCCCCCCACGACGCGAGAGAGCCTATATACTATACAATTCTACAAGCTCCAAAAGAGCCCTTGTATAAAAGGGGGGTAAAATCCTCTTTCCAAATCAATGTGGGACAAAGCTTACTTTTCCCTTCATTTTTCCAACTCAATGGGTCTACTTTGAGAATCAATATCTCATTCACGCATTATCCGTTTTGAGCGTACAATATATCAATCTCTTCGTCTCACTACGAAGAATCCGAATCCATTTTGACCCGACCCAAATCGGAAGTGGACCCCACTGATAATTGTACCACAAAATAGCCACTTAAATGCCATTTTAATGCTATTTTTCCAACAGTTAGAACTAAATATTAACAGTGTTATAACGGTGTAAGGGTACTTTTGTCAATTATAATCGAAGTGTACAACATTTAATGAAAAATGTATACCTTTATTAGCATACAAAAAATGGACAAAAATCAAGGATCTAACCATGATTGAGACTTATTATGTTTTTAGATATTATGATTGAAGGTTACATTGATTGATTTTATTATCAATTTGCGTGTATCACATGACTCAAGCTAACCTAACTTTTTTCTCCTTTTATCTCTTGTGCTTGTTATTTCTCAAAGAGTAAATATCACTTTTGGTCCCTTGACTATTATAGCTGAAGAACTTTTGGTGACTATTGTTTTTTTCAAATTAGGTGCGTGACTTTCTAGCTAGTATCACTTTTAGGCGGTGTTTGGTTCATGGAGTATTAGATTACCTTAGGGGATGTTAGATTGCTGGGAATGTTAGATTCCTGTGTTTGGTTTAAAACTAAAATATATAAATAAGACAACGGTAATAAGATAAATTGATTAAAACGTCCAAAGCTCAACATTAGTAATAGGACAAGGGAATGTGAGATTACCTAAGAAATTGGAGGGTATCTCACATTCCCTTCCAATAGCTAAAAACTTAATGCAGAGGTTATCTGACATTCCCGGGTAAAGTTACATAACCTGAGCCAAACATGGAAATCTTATATTACCACGCAAATATAACCTTGGTTATCTTATATAACCTGAACCAAACGCCCCCTTAATTTGGTCCTCCAATCCAATTCTTCAGCCACATACTACCAGAATTCAAACCGGAAAAATATTGTATTATAATTAGAAGGGTATTTTAATCCTTTAAATTTTATTTCATTTTTCTCTCTTGTTTTTTTTCCTTCTTCTCACTTTCTTCCTCAGCTCTCCCGTTTTTCTTAACCCTTTCTTCCTCTCCCGTTCTTCTCCCTTTCTTCTATTTGTCTAAGAAGATAATCCAAGCTTCAATTGATGCTTCCTCTCCATTTCTTGTATTTCTCGCGGGAGCGGTAATGGCAAATCTATTAGAATCTGGGATGATCCTTGGCTCCCTTCACAGCAGTCACATTTCATCCAAACTCCAAAGCTGCAGTATTTACACAATTACACGATGTTAGGGTATCCTCATTGATGAACATGGAAGGCTCAAACTGGGACATTGAAATTATTGAAGTTAATTTTTTATTGGCAGTTGACAGAGAACAAATCCTAAGAATCAGAATCCCTACTAACAATCATGAGGACAAGCTTATATGGAGTGGGGAGGAAAAAGGAAGGTTCACAGTGAGGAGTTGTTACAGAAAGCTTGTTGGTGAGATGACTGTGCAAGATGATCTTAGCTGGACACATTTATGACTGTGCAGGATTGCTGGACGAAACTCAATTGCCTCCCTGCTACTAATGCGTATCAGTTTCACAATTGGGTTAGTGATATTATGAAAATGCTAGAGGTCAAGAAACTCTGTCTATCACTTGCTGGAAAATTGAAAGCTTCCATATTATTGATCGGAGAGCCGAGGAAGAAAGGGGAAGAAGAAAAACATAAGAGAGGAAAATAAAATAAATTTGAAATGATTAAAATACCCTTCTAATTATAACATATTATTTTTTCGTTTGAAATTTCGGCAATATATGACCGGAAAATTAGACCAGAGGATCAAAATTGATACTAGTTAAAAAGTCATGCACCTAATTTTAAAAAAACAATAGTCAAGAATAAAAAATGCTTCAGCTATAATAGTCAAGACACTAAAAGTGATATTTACTCTTTCTTAAAAATTTATTTCCTCCTTTTAATTAAAAAAAAAAAAAAATTCCTCTTATTTCTTGTGCTCGTTATTTCTCAAAAACTAATATTTTCTTAGTATTATTTCATAACAATATCAATATATCATCAACCTCCAACCATATCCCCCACCACCTTTCCAGTGTACATATATTGTACAATGTAAAAAAATATAATTAGTCTGATCAAACACTCAAACAGTATATCATACAGACTTTGTATATAGGGTGACTTTTTTTTTTTTGAGGAAATATAGGGTGACTTCAAACTTCTAACTTGTACAATTGTACGTACTTAGACCATCCTCAGTATATAGGGTGACTTCAAACTGCTCTTCTTCTAAAAAGTTGAACCCCAACCCTAAGGGACTTCAAACTGCTCTTACTTATACAATTGCACGTACTTAAAGCATCCTCCGTATATAGGGTGACTTCAAACTTCTCTTACTTGTACAATTGTACTTAGAGCCAGGTCCAGATTTTGGGCTGTGTAAGCTGGGCTACCGCACAGGGCCCCAAATTTTAGAGGGGCCTCAAATTTTAGGAGTTCAATATTTTATTTTTACCTAGTTAGTTTAGAAATAAAAATTAAATTTTTTTAATTAAACTTAAAAGGCTTTATAAAGAAATAGTAGAAACTGTTATAAATATTTTATTAGTGGCCATTAATCTTGAGACTCTCCATTTTCCTTCTACTTAATATATTGTTTATGTTAAGCATATGAAGGGTTGTATGGATTAGTATAAATACATGTGAAGGCTTAATGAAATGGAGTTCTCATGTTTTGTGCTCTACATCTTGTGTCATTCTTCTCTTCTTACATCTCTACACTTTATAATCTTATATATATAATCTCCGGGCAATTACCGTGTAATCATCACGCAAGAACCAACGAGTTGATAGGCCGAATTACAACAGAAACATTTATTTATTGTATTTTATCTTTGAGGTCTAAGGTTCAAAACTTGTGCACACTATTATTATTCCATGTATATGTATATGTATATGTATATGTATATGTATATAGGAGGCCGTTGCCCAGGAGAGAACTGAGAATTATCTAGCGCGCACCATGTGTCCATATCTAAGGAATGAGAAATTAGAGAAACACTAATTTTTTTTTTTTTTTTTTTTTTTTAAAAACACGGTGACATTTTCGTAAATAATTGAACATCCAAGTGCAAGTAAAATGTATTACAAGTGCAAGTAACAATTTCATATAATGCACCTCAGTGCATGTAAAATGTATTACAAGTGCAGGTAAAATGTATTACAAGTACAAGTAAAGTTTATAATGAGCATCAAAACTAAGTGAATCCTGACGTTATAACTAGGTGCACCTATAGTTATAAGTAGTTGTGCTTAGGTGCATGGATGTTAACAAGGCAAAATTACATGCACTTGTAGGTGAAAGTAGGTGCACTAGTAAGTGATTTTACGTGCACTTTTTATTTGTAAATGTGCACCAACTACTTGCACTTATAACACATTTACATGCAACAAAGTTCGAGTATATATATATATAATCTTCTTCCTTCATCATTCTTCAATGAATCGTTCCTTCATTTTAAAACAAAACAACTTGTTCCTCTGTCATTCCGTCCATTGTAACCACCATCGCTACCCTAGATCTAGAAGAAGATGACTAATGTCATCTCCTTCCATCTTTTCTATATTTGGACAGAGGCAATGGATGTTGCATCCTAGATATGAAAAAAACAATGATTTGTCACAATTTCTAGCAGGCCAATATTATTTAAAAAAAAAAAACTTTGAAAATACAATTGTTATGACAACTTTTTTCTAAACCTAAAAAAGGAAGCGTCATTCTTCTTCATGGGACAATGAGAACGATCAGTTGACGGTGATGAAGTGGTTGAAAATCTTATATGTTTAAATTTTTCAATAAATAATATAAAATTGAAGAAAAAAGGAAAATAATCCAAATAAACAACATCAAATATTAACATGAAGATAACTAGCAAAAAAAAAGAAAAAGAAAAAAATATGGGGGACTAATTGCTTGAATTTTTTGAATTCAAGTATGTAATTTAAAGTGTTTGAAGTACAAAGGTTGAAATGCAAAATTTTAAGTATAAATTGAGGGCTTATTACGTACTCCTCGTAGTCTTGTTCATATCCAGCGTGGCTTTGAATATTTGCGGAGTTATAAAACCTAAACACGAAAGGAAATGAGTAAATGAAATCCACACAATTACGACAGCAACAGGAAAAACCTGAGTGAGTGCGACGAAGTGAAAGAATGTACAAGTCGAAGCTGCAAGAGCTGTGCCAACGCTACTCGGTGGTGTTGCCGGAGTACACCTCGGTGAAGGTCGGTCCCGATCACGACGCACGATTCAACGTCACTGTCACCGTAAATGGAATTTCATTTCAGTCGCCGCCGAATCAGTGCCGCTCCGCTAAGGACGCTCAGAACCTCGCCTCTCGCTTTGCCTTTGATTATTTTACTGCCAATCCGCCAGCGCTTCACTCGGCAACTAGGCTCCCAGATCCGGTTCTTCAGTCTCTGTCCCCGCCTTTACAACCATATCCGGTTCACCTCGTCGCCGATTCTGCCCTTCTCCCCCATCAATTCGGGCAAATCCCAAGTCAGTTTTTTTTTTTTTTTTTGGTTACCCTATTTTTATTTCCCATTACATAAATCGAAACATAAAAAGTTACGGGCATCTATGATGGGTTAAGAATGAAGTTAACTTGTTCAATTAGGAGAAACAATTTAATTTGCCTCTTTTATTTATTTATTTAAATTAACACTTTTTTTTTTTTTTAATTAACACTTACACTGGAAATGTACAAGGTTATAAAAATGTATACGCCTAGAGGTTTGATGTTTTATGCTTTATGCTTTTTATTTTGATATTTTTTTGGTTGTTTTTCATTTTTTTTTTTTTCACATGTAAACATTGAGAATATGTATGTATTAGTAATTTAATTGATTAAGAATGATATTAACTTGATTTATAAGGAGAAACAATTTGCTCTGCTTCACAGATTCAGCTTGGCTTGCTCGCCCCCAACCTGATCTGCAGCAAACCCCTCCATCTCTTCCACCAAAAAGCTTGATAGGTTAATTTTTTCTTTTAATTTTATTTAATGCACACATTGAAAATGTCCAAGTGTATAATTAACACTGTATATTATGGGGTTGATTAAGAATGAGATTAACTTTATAAATTAGGAGAAACAAATTCTTGTGCACTTTTCTCCTTTCTTCCATGTGTGTATTTGAAGACTCAGTGTGTAGTCCACAATATAATGGTGAAAAGATATTACTATGGGGAAAGCTTATTTAAAAGATAGAGTAATAAATTTGAGTAGCAGAAACAGTATTTGAAAGTGGCATGGGAGAGTTAACTTTCTGTGGCGAATTGGTTTATAAGTAGCAATTTGAATTGAAAAGGAATAGCAACATTTCTTTTTGCAGAGGCTTCTACTTCAAACACAAAAGTAGGTCAAAGTAAAGAGAGCACTGCACAAGTATCTGTTGTGACTCCATTATACTCTACCGAACCTGCAAATCTGAAGGGGATGCACAAGTCAAAGTTGCAAGAGCTATGCCATAAGCAGTCATGGAATCAGCCTGAGTACAGAACAGTGAAAGAAGGCCCTGATCACAACCCTCAATTTGGTGCCACAGTCATTGTCAATGGAATTCCCTTCAAAACTTCATATAACCATTGCCGTTCCTCCAAAGAAGCAACGGACCTTGCTGCCTGCATTGCCTTAGATCACTTTACTGGCTCCAAGCTAACTGTCCCCCAGCAATCCCAGTTCCCACCAACTGCATCCTTATCTTCAGGTTATTGTTTTATCATTAATTTCATTGTTTTCAAAAATACATCCCAGGTGAAGGAGGGGGGAGGACGGAATAGGGCAATGTTTAACAAAGGTGTGATAACCACTGAGAATTTGCCATGGTTTTTTGTTGAAGGAGGTTAAGGATACAGATGTAAATGGAATCCTAGATGTGTAATGGCTATTACTCATTGGTTCAAAACTAATAATTAAGTACAGCGAAATGGAAAATGGAGAAAGGAAAATAGAGAAAATGGGCACTGGTAAATGTATTTTTAAATTGGAAAGCATAAAATGGAGAAATGAAAATAGTGAAATGAAGTAAATGCAGCAGGAAAGTGAATATTAAAAGACAAATTTATTCAACAGAAGACAGGGAACTTAATTCCAGGGTAGTAGATAATTTTGGGAAATTAAAAAATTGACCAGTTCTGTATCCCCAGGTACCTATTGCCTCCTACCTGGGGCTGGTTCTGGAACATTTGATCATATCTATATAATCTGCATGAGTGCCATTATGGTTATTAATCTTTCTAAAACATCTTGGTATACAGGGTTTTCTGAAGTAAAATCTTCATAGAGTAAAGGCAGAATTGACATTTATGAATTGAAAAAATAAAAAAGGAAATACAGTATTTGCAGATTTTGTGATATTTTCATTTTCTTTTTGCAGGTCATACTAAAAATGAAATTGCAGGTCGAAACAATGAAACAAATTCACAATCATTTGAGTTCGGTTCAACACCATTGGTTCGTAAAGAGATTAACAAATCTTCAGGTTTGCTTTTATGAGTACCTATGATTTGTATGCACTAAGTTTTGGCTTAAGTTTTAATAACTTGTGAATTTGGTACTTATTTCTACTGTAAATCTACTTCTACTTTTCGTTGCTGATTTTATTTCTATATTTTTTTATTATTTTTTTTGGGATTGTGGGACACATTTTAATTGGATTATAGGTGAATCAAGTTATTTTAGCTCTGTAACCTTTTGTTAGGCAACAGCTAGCTAATATGCTTTGTGAATGTTGGGAGTGAAGGATTGATTGGATTTTATTATTTTCTTTCTACAGTTGTCTAAGGTTTGCTTCAATTACATTGTATGCTGCCTTACATTGTGGGAAACATTTTAATGTCTACTTAACCTATGAAACACTTATCCCTGAGTTATCTAGTGACAAAACAGTGGCCCCTGCCCCTCCAAAGAGATTAAGAAATATGTGTACATATGCATGCGTATGTATATAGACACTGCTTGGTAGAGCCTAGAAGTAGTGCAAGAACTAATGATAAGATGTTAAGGTAAGATAGAACAAGCTACAAACTATGCTCGGTCAATCTCCGTGGAGTAGCTTGGATATAATTATGAAATTAGTAAGGATTGGTTACTGCTATAATAATTAAATATTATTGGTAATTTACCCATTTAGTTTGCCCTACGGCCTACACACTCTATGAAGTAAATATATATCCATTAAAAAGTTGCTTAACAGTAGACATGACTGCAAATGATAAGCATTTGCTTCAACGGGAGATGTTATTTCCATTAAAGCCATTTCATTAAAGAGTTTCTGTTTGGACATGACAAAAGGTGTCCTTCTTTGTCATGTCCCATATGCTTGAACTGAGTTTTTGCAACATCTTTTCATGAATTCCCAACTGAAGAGGCTGGAAGCGTTTGTGTCTGTTGTAAAATATTAAATATTTTTCCATCTATTAAAATAACAAATTAGAAAAAGGTTCTGTTTCAGTAGTGCTATTATATAATTAATCAATTTTTTCCTGTTTTGCTTTCTTAGACATACAGTATATGTACAAGAACCTGCTGCAGCAATATGCTCAGAAACAGAATATTACTTTACCTGAATATTCTTGTGAAACTGAAGGGCCAAAACATTCTCGTCGCTTTAGATCAAAAGTGGCTTTTGGTGGAAAAGTCTTTGAAAGCCAAGAATTTTTCTCTACATTGAAGGAAGCTGAACAAACAGTTGCAAAAATTGCTCTTGAAGCATTATCACCTCAAGAAACTCAAAAGGTAGTCAAGTCTCCTAAATTTCTTTGCAGTAATTTTATTAGGCTATGGGTTCTATTGTATCTATTGGTTTCATGTTTCCTTTATAATTATATTGTCTGTTTCAAATGGATGTCAGGGTGCAGGTTTATACAAGACCCTTCTACAACAACTGGAACAAAAACAGGGTGGCCTGTTTCCAGTATACAAGACAATCCAGTCTGGTCCAACTCATGATGCAACTTTTATGGCCACAGTGGCAGTTGGTGGCGAGACATACCAAGGACAAGTAGCTAAAAGCAAGAAGCAGGCTGAGATGAGTGCTGCAGAAGTTGCTTATAATTCTCGTATGAAGGGTAAGTTAGAAACACTCCCTAGACTCACTGACACTGTCGCACAATATCACAAAATAAAAGTAGAGCCACGAAGGGACAAGAAATACAGAGCTATCCATAGCTCTGTATTTCTGTCCATAGCCATAGGTGCATGCACATATTGGTTCAAAGAGGCCGAAAACATGAACTATACCACCCGGCACACATACTACACCAATCAAGCACTCATAGTTTGTTTCTCTTTGTTATTAATAGGTACTTATAATGCTTCAAAGAGGCAGAAAACATGAGCCCCTGGCACGCATGTACATGCCCAGTCCTCAGCCTCACCCAGTAATATATCTTCTGCACCTAATTCTCATTCTCTGACACCACTCCAGCATACAACTGATCCTGCTGTGGAGTCTGTTATTCAGAGTTCCATCTGAATTCTATGCCAAGGAAATAGATAAGATTGAGGTTTCACAACCCAATCCAAATGAGGCAGTTTCTGGTCATGCTTCCACCTTGCCCGGCCTCTATCCAGGCTTTGCCTGACAACCAATCCTCCACTCCACTGACGCTAGAGCATTTAACTTGTTCTATTCAGGAGTTTGATCAGAAGAGACCAGCTGTGAGGGACATGATTTTGGTTTATCCAAATGCTTCAAGTCAGGTACTTCCTGTCCCTGAGATTGCTTCCATCTTGCCCTGCAGCAACAACAAATGGACGGCTGTTGGAGTAGAGCTGAATCAGAATGAAGGGCAGAACTATTGTCCATCTACATCCTGTGTTTAATCTCATGTTCATTCTGTATGATGTCAGGGAATTTGTTACTGCCTTGGTTGGGGTTGGCAGTTGGTAGTTGTTGGAGTTTGTTTAACATTCTTACCCTCTTTTGCTGGGAAAGTTGGAACTTTGTAGGTCATATTTAGATGGTACATTAATATTATTTCTCGTTTTGTATGTTGCATTTCCCTGTGTTCAATTTATGTGCTAAGGAATGCTCATGTTGCATTTCCTTGTGTTCTATTTCTGTGCTATTAAGTTGGCATGCTTAAATTGGGAAGGAATAGGGATAGACAGAAATTGGAATATTTTGATATAAAAAAACAATAAAGGACTGAGGCAACTCTCTGTCTTTCATTTTTATTTATTTATTTATTTATTTATTTATTTATTTATTATAGTTTATAACATATTTCTGTTTTTCGTTTTTCCCTTTTTTTTATTATACTCCGTATATTTTTAAAAAAATTCATTTCTCTAGAGAAAATATTTTTCTAATTTTTATTTCTCTAGAAAAAAAAAAAGAATTGGAAATGTTATTGCAAGGATTAAAATATACTGTAGTATTCTATTGTTCATCATTCTTTTTCCATTTCTCTAAATTTAAAAAATTAGTTAAATGAAATTTCCAGATTTTAGAAAAATAGAGAGCAATTTAAAAAATTATTATTTGGTTAAATATTCAAGATGACACGTGAATTGTGCTTTTGTGATATATCCTACCTAAAATGGAATAAGTAATAAACCAATTAATTCTTGGTCGAACTCCTAGTGGGAAATGTTTGGTTTGCTCGCCATGGAATGGCCTATGGATTGTGTTGTTCTTTTTTTTCTTTTCTTTTTTTGAAATGGGTAAAATTTCATGAGCAATGAATAACAATGAACAATTTTTAAAATTTGGACAACAGAAGAAAAAATTCATTTGGAACTTGAGTTTATGGTAAAAACATAAGTACCACTTGAATTTGTCAAATTTTTGCACCTAAAATTTGTACTTGTGTTCATCTTCATCTCGCAATAGACATTTTATTTATTTATTTATTTTTGACAAATGCAAGTGTAAGTTGCACTGGCGTTTGTCCTGTACAAAAATACATATGAAAAATATGAAAAATGCAAGTTGTACTTGTATTTTTTTGTATTTGTATTGTTGTACTTCAGGAAAAAAAAAAAAAAAAAAAAACTTCGCCCCAAACGTGTGTGTGTATTTTTGTTTTGGTTCAAATTTTAAAAGTTACCTATTGTTCATTCATCATGTAATTTACCCATTTCAATAAAAAAATCCTAGAATGGAAGGAGTCTTCAGAGGGGTTATTCCATATATGTTAAATCTTTTAATGCAGGATATGATATTTGTAGCATAATGTACATAACTTCCAAAATCGATTTGCAGGATATACATCTCTGTCATGTGAGTTCAATCATGGTTGATCATTGCAAAAACGAGCTTGTGACCAATAGTTGTTGATCCAAACTGTAGTATGAATATCTTCACGCTGCAAGAGTTAATTAGTACTGGTTCACTTACTGATGCATTATAATAGTTTTTCGCAGCTAGACAAGGAGAGCTTTCTTCTACAACATTTCAAAACGATGATTTCCATGATCCGAGCTTTCTTCTACAACATTTCAAAACGATGATTTCCATGATCAGGCTTACAATTGATCACTACCCATTACGATTGGAAATAAACTTGAATCACTCCCGAAGTGTGGTAGCGTGGGCCTTTTATAATCTATGGTTTAAATGAATATGCTATGTCTTGCTGCATTTAATGTGTATCAAACATGCTACTCATTTATAATGTATATGCATAACTCCAATGAGTTTGGTCCTCAGACAGGGATTTCACATGCGTAATCCAAAGTGTTGTGTCATATGTGTTTCCTTCCCCAGAATATCTTGCTCTATTATTGCTCACGAAGCCAAGTTGAATATGTTGTTTCTTCTAATTGTCCTAAGTTGAGCATAGACATTTCCTAACTCAGTCAATCAATATCTTGATTAGGCTCATAAAAGGAATTTGTCATTTCTCTCATATTTTATGTTTAAGGGTCTGTTTGGAAACCCGGAAAATGATTTCTGGAAATCATTTTCCGAGTTTTTGGTGTTTGGCTAGACAGAAAAGTGAGAAGTCAAAGAAAAATTACTTCTGGTCAATGAAAAATGACCATATTTTTCTGGAAAATGACTTTCCCTTTTTTTGGGGGGAAGTCATTTTCCGATTCTTCTTCCTCGCACAAGACCACATACTACCGCATCCTTCTTCTTCGCACAAGACCACAAACTACCGCCTCCTTCTTCGCACTTGTTTGTCAGTTCTTGGACGCCTTCTTCGCGACATTCACGACCACCGGAGACCATTACCCACAGCCGGAATCCTAATGATTTCCGACTTGGAAACCCACAGATCTGGTTTTCCAAGTCGGAAACCAGTTTGATTTTCTGACTTGGAAAACCAGAATCTCTGGTTTTCCAAGCCAGAAACCAGATTGGTTTCCTTGGAAACCAATCTGGTTTCCCTGGAAACCAACATGGTTTCCTTGCCGGAAACCAAACCAGTGCTTGGTTTGGTTTCCGGCAAGGAAACCAAACCATATTGGTTTCCAAGGAAACCAATCTGGTTTCCTTGCTGGAAACCAAACTAGTGCTCTGGTTTGGTTTCCGGCAAGGAAATAAATCGCCGGACCAAACCAGAGCACTGGTTTGGTTTCCGGCGATAAGGAAACCAAACCAGTCTATTCTTTTTAATTTTTTATTAAATTTATTATTTGAGATTTTTTAAATAGATTTAATTTGAAGATTATACTTTCCTAGACAAGCTAAATCTCTCTCATTATAATAATCAAAATGGTGAATTATATAATTTTACTTATTTTCCTACTCATTTTCTGGAAAATGAACCAAACACATAAAGACAGTTTTCTGTTTTGCAGCCAAACACCGGAAAGGAAAATGTTTTCTGGAAAATGAGTCATTTTTCAGAAAACATTTTCCAGAAGTCATTTTCCTGCTTTCCAAACGGACCCTAAGTTAAAATGTAATCCTAAATTTTAATGGGAGTTTTGCCAGAAAGGCCCATTAGCCGTCGGGGTGGCGGCGTTTCGGCCGACATTGTGGCCATTGCGACGGGTTCGCGCCATTAGTAAAGTATAGAGACGGGACCTTTCGTACTGATCCCCACAAACGGCGCCAATGTTGGATTACAGACTAGGTCAGCCGTTCGGCGGGCTAACACTACCGTAAAATATTATATTAAAAGAATAAAGTGTTTGCGAGAGAAAAAAGGAGCAGAGTAACGTTAGTAACTTGGATTGTCGATCCGTTACAAGGTGACCCTAGGGGGTATTTATACAAGGAGTTAGATCATCCACAAGGCAAGGAAAAGGAAAAATAACTAAAATTATCCCTTAGAAACTACAAAAACTAGTGCATTAATTGCCTAAAATGAGAAAAGGAAGCTACTTGCCGCCCCAAGAATCTCCACGAAATCCGCCTTAACCGCTTTTGAAATACGCACTCAGTCGGGGACACTCCGACTGCCCAGCCTGGTTGCCCATCATAGCTAGTTAGGAACCCGGTCGGGAACATGTCAACTGCGGAGCCTGGTCACCCGGGTGATCGTGCGATTGTCGCTTGTGAAGGAGGCCTCTTCCCTTGAACTGCTAAGTGTCCCAAGCAATCAGGATCGACTACCCTCCATGCTCTAGGCCGAGTGCCCGGTTGGTGGTATCTACCACTAGTCCCTCACTTTTCTGAAGTCTAGCCGAGTGACGAATCAGAAAATTTGAATACAACCGCCAAGTGTAGAAACTGGGTGCCGACCGGCTGCTCACAAATTCCTTCAATTAGGATATGAACCATAAAAGAAAGTGCATTTTTAATGTACTAAAAGTATATTATTTTGTACAGAATGTACATTGTATAAAATAATGTACTTTTAGTATTCAAATAATGTATTTTTTTTTTAATACAAAATACATTTTTAATATACTAAAAATACATTATTTGTGTACTAAATGTACATTATTTTATAGTATACAAAATATGATTCACACATTAATGATTGTCCTAAAAAAGTACCCGCAAGAAAAATTAGTCAAGACAAATCTACAATAAAGACCAATTCCTTAAATAGAGTATCATCTTAAGGAAACTAGTGCCAAGTAATCTTTAGGCTATCTTTAGGCTATGGCTGTAAAACTAGTAAGCCTCCCTAGTTCATGCACATTTAATGTACAACCGTTTAGAGTATAAACCAAAAAATTTAAGGGTTCACATATTGATAAGGTATTAAAAAGCTAAACTAAATTAATGGACTAAAGATGCTTAAACTCAAGTATAACCGCAATTAAAGTTTACGCAATGATTGAAAAAATCGCTAGGCGCTCATTGGGCGCTCAGGGAGCGCCTAGCACTTAGGGTACCTAGGCGCCATGTATTTTTTATTTTTAAAAAATTTGTTTAATTTTTTTAAAATTTTAAGAATGGATAATTATAAACTATTTAATACTTTAATAGTTAATATTAAATATTAAATATTAAATATTAACCTAAAAAACATCTAGAGTTTGAACAATTTAGAGTTATTTCGCTCAAAACGATGTCGTTTTGAGTGATATAACTCATTTAAAAAAGAATGAAACAATTGTAATTGGCCAACTGGGCGGCCTAGTCGGCGCCTAGGAGGCCTAGGCGGTCAGTGCCTAGACGGCACTTAGGCGGCGGCCGCCTAGACCACCGATTATGGTGATACGCTAGGCAGCCGGCCAGCGCCTAGTGCCTAGGTGCCGATTAATCGATGCCTATGCGGGATTTTTGTAACATTGGGTTTACACATAAGTTTAACTTAATAAAAAACTAATATAATTCCATCATAAATTATGCATTGCTAAAGACATAATAAAATCACATAATTTTTTCTTAAAAAAAAAAAAAAGAATATTTAGCTACTGAGTTGCAGCCCCGGTACTTTAATTTACGCACCGCCACCTCATGCCACTTTAGCATTGATTTTAGGAGAACCTACAGATTATTGTTGTAGACCTCATGTTACCTTCAAACACCACCCTGTTTCTTGTAACCCAAATCTCATGAAGCACATCTAACTCCACCAAATTTTCTAAATTATCCCTCATAAGTTTATCCAACCTTCAATAAAAGAAATGGTCACTTCTGGTAGTAACAACCCCAATTCACGCCAAATTTCGATACCTAATACAAGGATATATATATATATATATATATATATATATATATATATATATATTTTAGGCGAACCTACAGATTATTGTTGTAGACCTCATGTTACCTTCAAACACCACCCTGTTTCTTGTAACCCAAATCTCATGAAGCACATCTAACTCCACCAAATATTCTAAATTATCCCTCATAAGTTTATCCAACCTTCAATAAAAGAAATGGTCACTTCTGGTAGTAACAACCTCAATTCACGCCAAATTCTGATAGCTAATACAAGGATATATATATATATATATATATATATATATATATATATATATATATATATTAGGCGAACCTACATATTATTGTTGTAGACCTCATGTTACCTTCAAACACCACCCTGTTTCTTGTAACCCAAATCTCATGAAGCACATCTAACTCCACCAAATCTTCTAAATTATCCCTCATAAGTTTATCCAACCTTCAATAAAAGAAATGGTCACTTCTGGTAGTAACAACCCCAATTCACGCCAAATTCCGATAGCTAATACAAGTATATATATATATATATATATATATATATATATATATATATACATACATATACAGAGAGAGAGAGAGAGAGAGAGAGAGAGAGAGAGAGAGAGAGAGAGTTGAGTTCAGGTGCGACCGCACCAATAGTTATTTAAATCTACACCATCCATGTTAGGAAATGTACAACAAAAAAAATCCATAAATTAGGTACGTATCACAAAAAACGCACCATTATGTATGAATAAAAGCACCACACAGTGTTCGAAAATACACAATTAGGATATGAGGAGTTATGGTGCATTTTTTTTGGTGTGTTATGTATTTTTTGGTGTATTTGTGCATTTCATTGTTGTGTTTTTTCTTAACACTATTGGTGCCTTTCGTTAACACTGTTGGTGTATTTTGTCAAGTGACCGCATATATGGCAGCACGAGAGGGCGCGACCGCACTTGAACAAATATATATATATATATATATATATATATATATATATATATATATATATATATATATATATATATATATATGAAAAAGTTCAAATGCGGCGATGCCCTCCAATGCAACGGTTTTCAGAATACACCAATAGTGTAAGAGAAACACATCACAATGAAATGTAAAAATATACCAAAATATACACAACACACCCAAAAAAATACACCATATACTTTCTTACCACTAATGGTGTATTTCCGAACACTATGTGGTGCTTTTAGTCATACCTAATGATGTGTTGTTGGTGATGCGTACCTAATTTGTGTGTGTTTTTTGAGGTACATTTCCTGACGTTGATGGTGTATATCTTGCTTAACTATTGGTGTATTCTGAAAACCGCCACACAACCGCAAGCGAAGGGATCGCCGCACCTGAACTGGCCTATATATATATATACACACACATTCAAATTGATAAAAATCATTTTACATGTTATAAACTACCAGCTTAGTTAATACAATTCGTTAATCTTTAAGAGCTAATTGCCAAACAAGTTAATAGGTTCTAAGTACTCTCTGGTGGTCATAGTTTCTTGATAAAGTATTCAACTTCCCATATCAATATATGATGTCGAGGAAAATATGAATATATGATTTGATATGATCTTTAACCAGATAGAATATCATAGTAAACCTCTGGCTTCTTATACTCCGAGATGCATACTTCCTGAAACCCAAATCATTACACTAGCATTTAAACATCATTGTTTATCCTAGCTAAACAAAAATCCTTTTTTCATCAATTAAGGATTTCAGAAGACAAACTGTGAGATCAGAGGACGTACTTGCATTGCATAAGCAATGTGAATCAACATGGAATCACCCCATGGCTTCCCGATAAACTGCAGGCCGATAGGCAATCCTGACTTATCATATCCGACCTACATTTCACCAGATCATTGGCTGAGCAACGAGTATATGAGACAAAAACAAAAAGACGACAAAAACCAGGTTTGAGAAGCACAATCTAAATGTTATAAGTGCACTGAAACCTAGTAGAAATTAAAGAATGTGGAAGCATGCATACCGGGACAGTCACTGCTGGAAGTCCCAGAAAGTTTCCTGCAATCTGAAAGCGCACTAGTGCAGCTGGTAGTGCAAAAATTTCCCAGTTGATCAGTTAAGCATAGTCTGATGGATGGCTAAGTATGATTAAAACCTTCTTTTTTCTTGCTTACCTCCATTTACATAGTCTAGTTCTCCGGTTTGCAATACATCGTTCTTTATTTCATAAGCAGTTACACTGAAAGCAGTTACACCATGAGAATTTGGGAACTCTCGGCTCAAAAAATTTAACTACATTGTTCAAGAAAGGAAGAATGGGAAAATGAAAAAGAAATAAATTACCCCGTTGTTGGTGTAACAATAACATCTGCCTGGGAAAATATCCTTTTGTGAAACTGCAGCTGACGGTTTCTGCACAGGAAGTTTTTCAAACACTAAATTGACATACAGAGAAAGCTCGTGATTTCGTGAGATCAGACAAAGATGATTAGACCAGAAACCAGAAGCAAATTGTGTTGTGTGCTTTACCTGATTCTCTGAGCATTCAAATATTCCCGGCTGCTAAAGGAGCCATAGACAGGAAGAGCTACACGAGCATCCCACCCTAACTCCTCTCGATTACTGGTTCAAATAAATATAGGTTGTGATCAATGAATAAAGCCTTGAATATATACTCTGAAACAAATATTCGATTTTGCAGTATGCTTATGTAAAAACCATGTACATCTTGTCAAGCAGGCATGCGATTGAAGTACTGCATTCAGAACCAATTGTTACGTAATGTGCCAGGCGGATCACCTCTATCTCCGGTACAGTCACTTCTATGATCTTCAGGGAAAAAAAAGAAGAAGTTACCAGTAGTCTCCAAGAAAAACTTTGAAACAAGGTAATGAATGATCTTGATAAACCTTCCAGCTGTATTTTTTCTGTAGCTTAGCTAAGGCTTGAGTACAGCAGACTCTTATTTCTTCAGTGCAGTCATTAAACCACTGAAATGAAAAAACGAAACACATTATTAATGTTACAGACTAGTGTACTACTTATCAAGAATGTGATATGGTACCTCCCCGTATTTGGCTAAGGTGATGTCGGATATGAGCACTGGTGATTTCAGTAGAGGGAAGCATAATTTGGGCTGGTATATTCTCCAAATCCAAGAAAGTAACATAAGTCAGTACTTGTAAAGCACAATTGAATGTCAGAAAAATACTCCTAGCTGTAATCAGCTAAACCTGCTTTTAAAATTCTTTTTGGTTAATATTTCAACAATTTCTGTTCACTTTGTTTTTACTGAGATGGTTCATCTGTCTGTCCAAAGTTAATTGAGAGTCAAAGGCAAAACAATACCGGTTTAGCTGTGGATTGATCAGAAACTGAGGCTTCACAAATAGCTGCATATCTGATTGCGGATACACAAAAGTAAAGGAGTTTAGTGTAGAAAGGCCTATGAAATCAGATAGAAGTTGTGAAAATGAACACAAGCCAAGAATACTGACACAACGAGTGCATCTTCAACTGTACCAGCTAATATCCCAACCATTCCAACTGTCCAGTTCAGAGGAAGAACACTGGGAAAATAAATAATGAAAGAAATTATAAATGACTATTGAGTTTTAATTGCCAGGATAAACTAGGCATACCCAGAATGAGATACACATCCAAAAGATGGCTTGAAACCAACAACTCCACAAAGAGCAGCAGGCATTCGCACAGATCCTAAGCAGAACAAGGTAGCAAACTCTTATGTTACCTGAATCCTGATAAAGTAAACCTTGGCTAAAAGTATGAACAATTTTAGAGAGTGACTGTGTACCTCCACCATCAACACCAAGTGCAGCAGGGCATAACCCTGCAGCTACAACTGCTGCAGAGCCGCTGGAAGAGCCACCAGCGACCCTCTGGGGATCATGTGGATTTCTTGTGCTCCTATAACACCCAAAAAAAAAAAAAAAATTCATCAATTATACTAAATTCCAATATTAATCCAAACAAAAAAAATCATACATAAAAAAATGTATGGTTTATGGGGCTAAAAGCATCAACTTACCCATAGTGAGGATTTATCCCACTAGTTCCAGCCCCAAGTTCATGCATATTTGTTTTCCCCATGAGTATCGCACCACATAGCCTTAGTCGCTTCACACAGCATGCATCATCTTTACAAGGTCTTACTTTGTGCATCCACGTTGTACCCCCTATGATAATCACAGTTTTAGCTTGTACATAGGATTAACATGTTTCTTTTCATTAACTAATATAATACAGAAAACAATACTTCTTAATGGAATTAGAATCAGAAGACAAAACCTGTAGTTGGATACGGCAGACAATCTATTTCATCTTTTATAGCTATAGGAACACCATCCAATACTGATAACGGCTCTCCTAGAAACATATATCCAAGTTACTGAGAGTAATTAAAAGCATAATCTCTCCACCCTCATGCATTGACTCTCTCATAAGTTGAACAGACTATTTCAACTAAAGACTAAACTAAGTTACTAATGCAACGTATATGGATTTCATTAGAATGTACCTCTTTCATAACGAATAGTTGACTTAACAGCTTGCCTCAGTATATCTTCAGCATCAAAGTTAATATAAAACCCCATTTGCAATTCAGAACTGGATGATTCACGGACTGCATTTATCAAGCGATCTGCAACCTGAATAGCAAATTGCTGATATATACATAGAGTAACTGCAGCCAACTATGTAATCGAAGTAAGAAACAAATTTCATAGGTTGGAATGGCTCACCATGCGAGGAGTTAATTCTCCTGACAGATAAGCCCTTGAATAGTCTGCTATTGTCCAATGCCGAAAACTGAGGTCTGGAATATGCTTCATGTTTTGGGAAGACTGAAGACAATCCATGGCCTGTTTAACTTGTTCAGGTGGAGATAAGTTAGACTTCACACATTTCACTTCTTTCTCTACAGCATCTGTCAATACAAGCTATATCATCAGACTACATTAAAAGCTGATCGCTTATAACTGCACATTGTATATAAAGTTATAAACTGATGCTGGTTGGAAGTGTTTATTATGAATAGTAAAACTCAACCATCATATGGGTGCATTGGGACATAGAGAGGTGACTCCTGCAACTCAGCAAATGAAACAAGCTGCAAAATGAAAAATTTATTAATTACACATCATTAACCCAAGAAAATTCAAGAAAACAGTGAAAGAAGTTAGGGATCCCTTTTCTCTTTTACACGACAATTTATATGACTAATTAATGCTTATGCATTAAATTATCATTTCTGTCATTTTTGGTAACCAGCATCACATCCAAACTAATTAAACAGGATTTCAGCATCTATTACTTGATTCACAAGCTCACTTTCGAAAACCACTCCTGCCTTGTTCAATGAAATCCAAGTAAAATCTAGTTATTACCCAACTGCAAAGATCCAGCCTCGTCAAAGAAAATAAAGAGGGAGCTAGGGCAGAGTATACTTCACATTCAATTCTCCAATCTCATATAATATCATACATTTAACATTTTCACTAATGAAATCAGCTATACCCAACCCCTTATCAAGAAAGGGTTAATATAGTAATATTATCAAGTAGAAGAAGACTGCTTTTGTCATGAATAATGTCTATTGCCAGTCAATTTCTTTAAGTACAATAATGAGAATCCAAGAATAAGTGAGTTGCCCAAATGGTTTAATTAGTTCATTAATCAAATGGTGCAATGATAAATGTTGGGACTAGTACAGTAGTTCGTACACTTAATTATCATTGTGGTCCTTCGCCAGTTCACCTCCAGTATTAAACACATAGAGTATGCTAATGTTATGTACATTTATGACAGCAACACTCAACTAAACTTCTCCATCATTGTCTCTATAAGGAGATAACCGTAAAACAAGCAAACTAAAGTAGAGAAAGTAATTGCAAAATAACCTTGTGAATGAGATTTTGTCGCTTGAGAAAGTAGATGAGAATGCGCCCAAAGATTGGTAATTCCAAGAACCACACAAAAACTTTAACCAGAGCGCCAGCCATACGCGGCGCTGACAACAAATTAAGGTAATGCCAGTTAAGTATTGTAAACAGACTCTTTTAACTATCCAGAACAGATGCTAGATAACGCCAATTCAATGCGAAATTTTGGTAATAGTAATAAATTACGGTTTACGGTAGAGAGGGAAAGCTTCAAGATTTTCAAAATTTCAGGATTGAGGGTTTTGGGAAGCTGTGTATGATTCACAAATACAAACCTTTTACGTTAGCTCGGAGATAAACCTCGTCGCTTGAGGCGCCCAGATCAACCTCATCGATAGCCTTGTAGCGCAAACCTCTAGCCCTCAGGAAATCCATCCTCTCAATTCTCCCTCAAAACCTGATCACTCTGCCTATCTGATGCGTATTGAAAACAAACGCCGGCTTTTCTGCATGTAAACCAAGTCACGACAGCATGGCTGTATATATATATATATAGCAGGGACTGCGAGGATATCAGATGAGAGAGGTTTGAATTGATTTCTGGTGGGGATTGGGTTTTCTGATTTATCGGAGGGGTAGAGAGACGTTAACACAGAGAATCAAAAGATACATACGTGTGGATATGAAACCATGCATTATTACATTACATGTATATATACAACCGTTTCTATTCGATTATAGGATTATAAATGAGGTTAGTTGAGACGAAAGAAAAGTTGCAATCGTTATGCCGTAGACCAGGGTCTACAGTGCATTGTGCACCATCGTTTAAACGTGAGTTGACCACTAGAGGTGTAATTAGCAATGGCAATTTTGATCTATTCACTCGAATCCACTTTGCATGGGTTGGATTTTTTGAGGAGTTAATTACTGAAATGGTCCCTTGACTATAATAAAATTATCAATTTGGTCCTTGACTATTTCTTTAACCAATTAAGTCCCTTAACTTTAAAAATCTTAACTAATTTGGTCCTCCGTTTGTTTGATCGTTAGTCAACCGTTAATTTGGGACCAAATTGGTAATTTCGCTATAGTCAAGGGACCACTTTGGTAATTATCTTTAGGGGTGGGCAATTCAGTTTAGTTTTCTCGAATTGAACCGTATCAAACCGAACCGAACTAATTTGGTTCGGTAATATACCGAACAACCGAATGGTATTGGATTCTTGTATACCGAACGGTTCAATAAAAAACCGATCCGAATTGTTCGGTAAAAAATTGAACTGAACCGAATACCGTTTGATTTTTTTAAAAAAATATAATAATAATAATAATAATAATAATAATAATAATAATAATAATAATTAATAAATAAATAAATAAAAAGTAAATCCAAGTCCCATACTGCTTGCTCTGCCGTTCAGCTCATATTTTCACGGGTATCTCTCGTAAATGTTTTATTTGATTTCTTTATGGTTTGTTATCAAAAGTTATATATTATGTGTTATGGTGTTTACATAGTCCATATCCAAAGTCTAATATATAACAAAATAGCAATCCAAAGTTCAAACGGTATTCAGTTCGATTCGGTTTTTACCGAACAAATTCAGTTCGGTTCGAGTTTTTATCGAACCGTTCGGTATACAAGAATCTATTACCGTTCGGTTGTTCGTTATATTACCGAATCTAACTAGTTTGGTACGGTTGGTTCGAGAAAACTGAACCGAATTGCCCACCCTTAAAGTTAGTTACCAAAATGGTCCCTTGACTATAGCAAATTACCAATTTGGTCCCAAGTTAACGGTTGACTAACGATCAAACAAACGGAGGACCAAATTGGTTAAGATTTTTAAAGTTGAGGGACTTAATTGGTCAAAAAAATAGTCAAGGACTAAATTGGTAATTTCGCTATAGTCAAGGGACCATTTCGGTAATTAACTCTTTTTTTGAGTGATAGTGGGGAACGTTATGCTGTGGAACCGTGCCTACCTTGTAAGGTGGGCACTGTTCCAGATTCATAATTTCTATACTGTAAATTCATAATTTTTAAACTGTAGATTCATAATTTCTATACCGTAGATTCATAATTTAAATACAGTAGATTCGTAATTTTTATACAGTAGATTCATAATTTTTATACTGCAGATTCATAATATCTGTACTGTAGATTCATAATTTCGAAACTGTATAGTTATCAAATTATGAACATATAGTTCTGTGATTTGTGAATATAGAGTTCAACAATTGGGAATATCGAAAATTATGAACATATATCTCTATAATTATGAACATATATTTATAAAATTATGAACATATAGCTCTATCACATGTTCACAAACCTAATACTGTAGATTCATAATTTCTATACTGTAGATTCATAATTTCTAAACTGTAGATTTATACTGAAGACGAAATAATGCAATTAGGCGAAGAGAAAAACGCCGTTAACGACAAGTGAAAAATAATTTTTTTAATTAGAAAAATTATGAATCTACAGTATAGAAATTATGACTCTGGAATCGTGCCCACCTTGCAAGGTGGGCACGTTTCCACGGCATAATTTGCTGTGATAGTGGGTAGTGGGTTGAAGGTGAATCTTAAAAAAATAAAACTGCGATGGGTCGGGTTGAACAAGAGTTCTATACTTCTATGTGTAGAACCCCGCCAAAAACCTCACCCCACCCACCATATATATATATATATATATATATATATATATAAAATTCAGTTCTCGTGCGGTTGAGTGTCTCTAGTTCTGTTGTGCGGATAAATCTCTTACTTAAATCAATGTTCAGGATTATCAAATTTTTTTTTTAAAAAAAATGCGGTGGCAATTTGGTAATTTTTGCATCTAGGTCAAATTTAAGGTACGTGATTTTTGTGCTTAAGGTGCGTGATTTTTTTGCTTAATGTGAGTGGGTTGTGTGCTTAATGTAAGTAGTTGTAAAACTTAAGGTGCGTGATTTTCCTTCTTAAGGTGCATGACTTTTGTGCTTAAGGTGCGTAGTTTTTGTGCTTAGGTGCGTGGTTTTCCATCTTAAGGTGAATTGTTTTCCTTCTTAAGGTACGTGATTTGTATTCTTAAGGTGCGTCAATTGTGTGAAACTTAAGGTGAGCCATTTTAAAACCTTAGGTGCGTGGTTTGTGTTCTTAATATGCTTTGTTATGTACTTAAGGTAGCAATTATACTGTGGACCATGGTCCAAAATGGCAGACACTATAGTGTATCTAAACTTACACTGTCACACATTATTTTTATTATATTATCAAATGAAATTGCAATTAAATTGAAATGAAACTGTAGTTGTGTTGAAATGAAACTGCAGTGTATACAAAATGAAACAGAATAACAATATCACATATTTGAGTGTATATTGTCCACCAAAACTGTATTTATATCAAAATGATATTGTAGTTGTGTTGAAATGAAACTGCAGTGTATATTTGATGCCTGGACCACAATGCATTGTAGACCGCGGTCCACAGTATAATTTGTCGTTACCATGCTTAAGGTGCGTGGTTTGTTTACTTAAGGTGCGTGATTTATGTTCTTAAGGTGTTTTTTTTGTGTGCTTAAGGTGCGTGGTTTGTTTACTTAAAGCGCGCAATTTTAATGCTTAAGGTGTGTCTACCACACAACCGCACGGGAAGCTATACCCGCACCTAAACCCTTGTGTGTGTGTGTGTGCGAGCGCGCGCGTATGCATATATATATATATATATATATATATATATATATATATATATATATATATATATATATATATATATATATATATATATATATATATATATATATATATATATATGCGAGTTCAGGTGCGGCGGTGTCTTACGGTGCGGCGATGCGGCATCACCAATAGTTCAACAAATATACACCATCAACGTTAGGAAAATACACCACAAAAAACAGACGAAAATTAGGTACGCATCACAAACACACACCATTAGGTGTGAGTAAAAACACCATACACTGTTCGGAAATACACCATTGGGGGTGGTGAGTTATATGGTGTATTGTTTTGGGTCTGTTGTGCATTTTTTGATGTTTTATTGCATTTCATTGTGGTGTATTTTCCTTACACTGTTGGTGCATATTGTTAACACTGTTGGTGTATTCTGAAATTCCGCCGCACCGCCGCACGGGAAGACCACGCCGCATTTGAACTTTCTTTTATATATATATATATATATATATATATATATATATATATATATATATATATATATATATATATATATATATATATATATATATATATATATATATATATATATATATATATATATATTATATATATATAGTAGGGTTCCAATGAGAACACTTGCTTAGCTGAGAACGTGAGAACAAATCGTGTGCATCCATCTAATATTTTTCCCGTGCTCTGCCATGTAGGTGTGCATTTCTCGGTTTGTGGTCACCTAATTCAAAAACCTGAGCGTGTTTCCCGGTTACTAATCGTGAGTTTGGCATTTTTTCCGTTTCAACCCACCCCCCCCCCCCCTCCCCGCCCTTGCGGTGACGAAGACCAGGCGAATTGCGTGTGACGATGGGCAGTCCTGAACCGGCGACGTCCGGCGACCACGGCGTGACGTTTGGCATGCCCCCCCTCCGCCGTGATCCTGCAGGTCCGTTCTTCATTTATCTCGTACGCCGATTTCCGCCGCCTGTTCGTTTTTTTTTTTTTTTTTTTTTTTTTTTTTTTTTTTTTGTAATCTATCTACTAGCTTGCGTGCAGTGCACACTCCATTTTTATTTCTTTCCATTAGTAGTTTGATTTTCTGTAATACACAACTGCAAAGATCCCGGCTTTTACTCATCAATTTGATGTTTAATTCAAAATTGGTTTAACATGCACTTGGATCCTACTGTTTTGGTTATGGCTTATTTGAGTAGTTTTGTTCCAGATTAACTAGTTAATTAGCATGCACTGGAGCAAGCCACATATATGCAAGCCAACACCTTTCCTTTGGTACCCAACTGCTCTGTGAAGAAAAAGCTCAGCATCATATATGCAAGCTAAGCTGAAGGAATTTTTATTTTGCAGTGATTTACTGGGAGTTGCAAAATTGACTCATGTCTGTACACCCAAAGATATGCCTTCATGCATATATAACCTACAGTTATACTTATACACCATGGACTAGGTCCACATTGTATTGTGGACACTAGTCCAAAACTACATTCAAATTATGTGGAGGTTTTAAATGTTTAATCGTTCTGCTCCAGGGCCAGACACTGGAATATATACAGCTCCAATTCTATATGGAACCTTGTACGTTTACACTACACTCTGCTGTGTTTTGAGCCTTAAATTCGTCATTCATTACTCATCACTAAGAAGGCAGAACTTAAATTTTAGAATGTTTAAAACCTTCATTCAACTTAATCATCCAGCTTGTCATCCTCCTAGTTTTCTAACTTCCTATATTGAGTAAATTGAGCTTGCACCACCGATTCAGTCAATTCTGAAAATTGAGGCAGAGCTCCCAACCAATGCCTTGGTATACCCGCCCCCAATGAATATAGAGTTAGACAATGCACTCTATATGGATTGTTTAACTCTATGAATTTATTTCTGCAATATGTTCACACAGAACTTCTCTAAGGAAATGGTATAAACCATAGCTGCTACTGATTTTTAATACATAGGGAAATAGGGAAAATGAATATAGAGTTAAACAAAATTAGGAGTTTGAGGAACAAAACTTGGAACTGTGATAGCTGAGGTCGTAAAGGTACCTGCAGTTTGGATTTTCTCTAGTAAAGAATATAGTCTTGGCTAGAGCTGTCGAAAGGGTCTCGCGGAGCGGGACGAGCCAAAACACACCAAAGTCCGTCCTCGTTGCGGGACGAGCCAAAACACACCAAAGTCCGTCCTCGTTGCGGGACGGGTTAAAAAGCCCGCCTCTTAGCGGGTTTAGAATGTGGCCGGCCTGCCCCGCCATGCCAAAGCCCACTGGCGGGGCGGTCTAGTCCGCCAATCAATTTTTTAACCGTGTTAAATTTTTTTATAAAAAAAAATCACTGTACAATATCCTTAAAAAAAAATCACTATATGGACGTACAGTACACTAACGCAGTAACACTACCTAGTATTGTATTCCTATAAATCTATAATCCTATAAGTTATAACACACTAACACAATTACACAAACGAAAATAACACAAAAAATAATATGTATTAAATACTAAAAATATATGTATTAGCAGGTCGCGGGCTAAGCCCGTGACCCGCCTGACCCGACCCCCTGACCCATGACCCAGGCGGGGCGGGCTAAAAAGCCCGCCTCCTGGCGGATCAAAATTTGAAGAACCCGTCCCCTACCTACGGCGGTACGGGACGGGTCGACCCGGCGAGTAAAATCCATTTTTGACGGCTCTAGTCTTGGCTGTAGTTATTTTAGTAACTCACTAAAAGAATATACATGTGTACTACAATCACATTTGACCAAGGACATCTCAGGCTAAACCTTACAGAAAGCTCGAATACTTCTTTGTCATATATTGAATTATAACCACAGAAGAAATAGTAAAGAACTGGGAAAGATGCAAGAACGAACTATAAAATAGAAAATTAAAAAATAATAATAATATAACCTGGCTTAAAAAAGATTGAAGTAATAGGGTCAAGTCCAATTAGATGACTACGGTAGCGAGGGTTGCACTACAATTCACATCATTTTTTATCTATTTCTTGTGTTTTTTTTTTTTTTTTTTTTTTTTTTTTTTTTTTTTTTTTTTGGCACTTATATCCTGTAATGCATTAGACTAATTGGGGGGGGGGGGGGGGGATAAGGAGTGGGAATGGTGCATTATGGATTGTAATGCATTAGACCAGCGAGGGTTTGGGGGTGGGGGTGGGGGCGAAAGCATGGCTGCTTTGTGGGGGCGGAGGGGGGGGGGGGGGTTAAATTCAGTGGACTCGTTCACATGGTCCTATTTGTTAATATAAGGATAACATCTGAACCGGTTAGCTAATTTCAGTAGACGCTGATTTTTGTAATCCAACATCCAAATCGCATATGGCTTAATTGAGTTGTTTTGTTTCAGATTTTCCCTTACTTTTAATTAGTTAAATAACTAATTGGATTTGCATTTGCATTTATTACTGGACGGTATGTTTAATATTTTAGTATGCATATTCAGGTGTTGTTAACTCTTTTTTTTTTTTATAGATGTCAGGGGGCAAGAGAGTGCGGGCATGGGTGGGTATACCAGTATACCAGTCAAATATTGGTGGCCTGCCGTGGACAGTGAAATTATCCCAGCTATCAGTTACCGTTTCAAAACACTAGCAGAAGGGGGTGTATTTCTATATCAACAACGCCAGGACATGTGGCTTCTCTGTGAGGCACGACACACAAAAGCGAGGTCGTGATGGCCAACTAACCTCGCGTTATTTGTTATGCAGTCGGGAAGGCGTAAAAGGTGGTGGTCGGAGCCCGCCAAAACCCGTGGAGGGTGCCAATGGTGGTTCGATCACTCAATGCAGGAGACGGGTATCTAACAGGGTTAACTGCAATGCTCGGATCTGCATCACAAAGGACAAAGGCGTGGGGTTCATCGTTAGCATTTTTGTTCTCAAACACACCCACCGCATGTGCTCCGAGCCTTTGAAGCTATTTATGCGAATCAATCGTAAACTAGATGTAGCCCAGCAAGCGTTCCTTACGAATTGTGTTAAAGCTAACGTGGGTGGGTCTAAAGGCTTCCGGTTATACCAGGAATCAGTGGGGTCGTATGCCAACATTGGTGCAACTGACACGGAGTTCCATAATTTGAAACGTGACCTCCAGTCATACGTTCACGACAAGGACGGAGAGATGATCATTGCAAAGTTTAAGCAAAAACGTGACATTTGTGAGAACTTTTTCTTTGATTACTATCTCGATGAAGAAAATCATCTTGCGTGTCTTTTTTGGGCTGACCACACCGGGCGTCAAAGTTTTTTGAGTTTTGGTGATGTGATATCCTTCGATGCAACGTATGGTACGAACAGGTATGGAAATGTTTACCCGTTCATTGTGTTGATTCTGTAAAGTGCATTATACACTAAAGATACCGATGGCAGTGAAAACAAGTATCTTCGATGCAAATTAAGGGATTTGTATGTTTGTATCTGAAGTATTATCTTTTGCAGTAGTTCCCATTTTCCTGTGCACATGTTTTTCCTATGTTTCTTTTCTTGGATGATCATTCACCCACTCGCTCATCTATGTTCAGTAAAGTGCATGCTAATCATACTTAATTCTAGTGCTAACTCATTACTCTTGGTGTTAAGTGCATTGTACACTAGTCATACTGAATTTTAGTGCTCATTTAATAATAATGACGTAAAACGCATTGTCCACTACATGTGGGTGAACTCCCTGGTAACATGTGTTAACTCGAATACCCCGCTAGTGTAATTTTGTGGTAATTTAATAGTATTCATGCTAACTACCCACGGGTGCCCCATTAGCGGCAACCGAATGACTACATTTGTTTCCAACATTCTAACGTGTGAGCTCTTTGAGCTGCAGGTACAGTTTGGTGTTCGTACCTTTTACCGGGGTAGACCACCATAAACGCTGCATTACGTTTGTTGGCGGGTTGCTTACTTGAGAAGACACTGACTCATATGTGTGGGTTCTCGAGAGATTTAAAGCGGCAATGGGAAAGAGCCCCTTGTGTGTCGTAACTGATCAAGACCCGGCTATGAAGAGTGCTATTGCACAGGTATTGCCGGAGTGCCGGCACCGTTACTGCATGTGGCATATCATGACCAAAGTGAGTGAGAAATCAGGGGCCGAATTATCAAAAGATCAGACTTTCCGAAACCAGCTTAACAACGTTGTGTGGAATGAGACCATTGGCATTGGTGATTTTGAAACGCAATGGCAGTCGTTAATGGAAAAGTACAACTTAACGAGGCATCGATGGTTCACCAAATTATACACAGAACGACATTTTGGATTCCATCATATTTTGTAGATTTACCCATGAGCGGTGTTCTACGTACCACATCGCATTCAGAATCAGAGAACCGTGTGTACGGTAAAAGCACACGCCCACATTGTAGTCTGGTCGAGTTTTATGTGCAATACGAGAGCGTCCTGGAAACGCAACGGCACAGACAAACCAAACTAAATGCTGAGAGTGAGGGGTCATTGCCTGAGTTCAAAACTCCTTTAGCATTGGAGCGACACACAGCGCAGGTATTCACCCTAACAGTTTTTTTATGAGCTCCAGCTAGAGATCGAAGTTGCATGTTTTTATTGTAAGGTTGTGGGGATCCGTGCGGATGGTGAGTGCATCTGTTACGACATTAAAGGGGAGTACAACGTTGTCCATACTGTTGAATATATGCCGTCTTTGAGTATTGCGTCATGCAGCTGCAAGTTGTTTGAAAGATTGGGGTTTGTTTGCCGGCATATGTTTCTTGTGTTCAGAGATGCCGAAATGGCGAGCTTGCCGTCGCGGTACATTGCAACACGCTAGTGTAAGCAGGAAGAACTAGCTAGCTGGTGTGCTCAATGTTCTGACTGCCCCCCTTTAGAATTCGGGCCTAACCGGTTGTGGACTAAGATACATAGGTACACCGCGATGGTTGGAAGTAATATAGTGCGCCAAACGTGGATGCTACAGGTAATAAAGGAACTGAGAGACGAGTTCTTGAGCGATGGTATGGGCGTTAACCCCCCAAAGGGCAACGGTGTTGCCACCGCGGCTCTTTGTGGTGTGGAGCCGCCGACGTCCATTACCATTAAACCTCCAGCTCAAGCAAAAAACAAATGGACCGGCAAGCGAATTAAAAGCCAACGGGAGTTAGCCATTGAGAGAAGTGGCAAGGCCTGCAGAAAGTGCGTGGTGTGTGGCGAGTACGCGCATCATAACCCCCGCAGCTGTCCGTTGAAGTGATTAGTGCACCCGGATGGTCCATTCTATTAGTTATATATTTTTGTCGTCCCTGGTTATTATTAAAGACATCGGAATTCTAGTCAATTTTATTTATCGTACGTTTCTATCCTTCGTATTTGGTTATTAATAAGAACATTGGAGTGTTTGTCCATTTCATTAGTTCATTTTTGTGGCAATAATTGCCCAAGCGCAATGACCGATGCAGCCGGATGGTGTTTTTCTATTGTCTATATATTTTTATCACTCATTCCTGGATATTAATATAGACATCGTAGTTCATGGCTACATGTATTTGAGTTGTAGCATATGTTGTGCATTGCAGCGGGTTCGTGCTTTATATTGACCCACCGAGACCTGTTAATTATATGACATTAGCATTTCGAGTTAGAAATACCCCATGTTCTGGAGGTTTGGTCCGTCCTATTAATTCATTAGTGAGTTGAGAGCCGATTGCGATGCACAACATATTACTGTTGCAACATTGCCGTTCCGAGTAAGAGACACAACATGGTCTGGAGTTTTGGTGCATCTAAGTTGTGGTATATGTTGTGTACCGCAGTGGGTTTGTGTTTTATATTCCCCCATCGAGCTGGTTAATTATATGCCATTACTGTTGGCATTATCCCATTTATGCATATAATTTATTAGTGTGTTACCCAACACAACATGGTCTGGAGTTTTGCTGCATCTAAGTTGTGGTATATGTTGTGCACCGCAGTGGGTTTGTGTTTTATATTCCCCGATCAAGCTCAGTTAATTATATGTCATTGCCGTCCCGAGTGATAGATAATAAAGGATATTAAGTGATATCAACGCATTTGTCAATACGGTGCCGATTTTGCGTGACATACTATACATAACATATTACTGTTGGCATAATCCTATTTATGCATATAATTTATTAGTATGTTACCCAACATTTGCATTGTTTGGGAATTACTGCACTTTGCTCGGGATGTGCAGCAAACTAAACATACCTAGGCAGCCTTACAACCCCATTCATGCACATAATTTCTTAGTCTGTTACCCTACATTTGCATTGTTCGGAACCTATTGCACTTGGCTCAAGCTGTGCACAAAATCAAACAAAACTAAGCAGCTAAAATTACACTGCCTCCCACCAATATCATCCAACCCCACACTACCTCATACCCGTTTTACATTGTGACACCCCTTTTAATAGTTGTTCGGTCCTATTGCGATCATACTCCCCTGCTTGTGTGAGGATATTGTCGATGTTGCCATTGACCGTACATAGCAAGATGTTGTACAGAAATCCCGTTCGCATATTTTCAATGACCGCAGTATCCCCCGTCCCCAGCCCACACTGCCAATATCTGGGATCTTGACCAACAAAATCTTCCTTGTGCCTCATCGTGTACACTCCAGAGTCACCGTTGATAGGGTTGTCAACCCACACCAACTGCATCATCTCAGGCTGCATGTTCCTCAATCGTAGAGCTCAAACAGTGTGCTGCTAAGTATCTAGGTACACGGCGAGGAGGTCCCTCTGCAATCAGTCATTAGATAACAAGGTGTGCGAGTATACATAACCAATAGCATTCAGTGTTGAGAGTGTGTGGTGTTTACCAATTCATCTGGCGCTGTACCGTACATCTCTGTACCCATGCTGGTCATTGGTGAGCTGTCGATGATGACAAACCCGTTGTGCTTAAAACTTATGCACATCACGTAGAAACGTGCCTTGTGGAATATGGGGAAGAAATACTGCACAACACAAATTATAGGGGTTAGCCCACGCTGTTCGCTGTGCGTTGCGGATTAAACCGCCTATTTTAAACATGACTCTCATCTTACCATGTCCAACGTGGTTGTCCCCACGTGGTAAGTTGTTTGGAATTCAGTATCAAGACGTCGTTGAAACCACGTTACCCTTTGATCCCGACCGGCTGCGACGTTCACCACCGTCCCAATCTGCGACCAATAACAGTTAGTAGATATATATAACCAATAGCATTCATGTGCTCCCTGTCTTGAAAAGAGTATAAATTAAATTGCATGGATCACAATACCGTAGCAGATGTTGAGACCAACAGTCGAGAAGGCACCTCCCGACCCCCCGGGTGCTCCCTTGATTTGAGCACCGAGCACCATGTATCTACCACCGGTTTACAAACGTTCGTCCTTGCCTTTAACGATAAAAATTGCGTCCATTTCACTATGCGTGTGCCAATGCGGAATAGAACGTCATTCCTGTATTTTTTTTTAGACACAATGCGGTTGTGACAGCTGGCTTTTATATATTCGTATGCGAGATTCATGCAACTTACCGGTAACTGTGTGGGGAGTTGAACAACCACATCCAAATGACATAGACCAGTGGTAATGGAATGTTAGGGTACCCATTGCCGGTGCTGAAAAACATGCCACCATGCTGGTCTCCTGCCCCAGTAGTGGTCCTTGGCTGGTGATCCGGACACGCTCTCACCCTTGTGGGTACGGACTGAGGTGTTGACCCTAACCTGGGCCCTCCCAGCTGCGCCTGCACGGGTACCTACACCTGGAAGTTAGAAAATACCATGCAAATTGCGCGTAAATGCAAAGGCTTAACCTGTTAACACTTTTCACCTGCTGAGTTGGCGTGTGTACAGACGACGGCCCTGGCGTGTTGCCGTCTTCCCTCGTGGTTGCCATCTCCTGTGTCAATCTCAGGCTAAATGACGGTGGCTCAAACCCCCCTGTGTCCTCCGATGTCACATGTCCTGTCTGCCTTGGTAGCGTTGCCCGTCTTGCTTCCTCTTCCACCCGGTCTAGCTCCCTTAAAAATTGCGAGTCTCGCCAAAGATTATCGTCTGGATGGACGGGCGTCACAGTTTGAGGCTGAGCTGGTTGGGGGCCGCTTTGTGGTGTTCCCGTACGGGCCCACCTTGATAACAGATTTGCCACGTTACCAACCCTCTGGAAATTTCAGTCCTCAAAGGCTATTGTTTGGTTTTTCCTTATTGTTTACGCGACCCGTGTGGCTATCGTGAGCAAGTCCCTAGTCATGGCTTCAAATTCATGGTTGAATCCCTACAGGCAAACGGTTGGTTAGTAAAGGAACAATATAATAAAGTCGTCCGAAATTTAGCACATCACCCGTTGGTCATACATACCCCGGTAGAAATTGCAGTGCGGA